GCCTTTTTGTTTTGGGTTAAATTGTTAAATAGATACAAATAAAATGGAGTATCCAATGAATCAATAAAGCCTGTCTTGTGTTTCTTAGCATATAATCCTAGTGCTGGACTTTATCACCCATATTCTGTGTCAAGTTTTATTCAGGCTGTGGTAGACTCAGCATTTGCAGTGGTATGATCTGAGTTCTAGATAAAAAGAGTCTTTTGTTTCCAATACATAGCTTTCCCCTATTCTTTACCTTTTCATGGCACTATGAAAAATATTAGGACATTCTGGAGAAGGCCCTGCAGTGGGGAAGGCCAGCCCCAACCTGCAGCGCTCAGGTAACCTTGGTTCTACCATTCTCCCACAGTGAAACCTGGACACACCTAACACACACTAACACCTGAGCCCTTTTTGCCCACAAAGTAAGGATGTTGTAAGAATTAAATAGTGTCTGTTTTTTGAAAACGCTTTCTGGAGAATAAGGTGACACACCCACATAAACACTGATAATCACTGTTGCTACTGCCAGAGTCCTCTGACGGGATTTCCTTTTATTTTTGAATAGAATATTTTCCTCTGAAATTTCATACCAATTAAAGATGCAGCGTATGCAACTGAACCTTCGTAAAAATCCAAAGCCCACATTCTCCTCCCCCCCTTGAGCCGGGCTGTGACTCATCCGGCGCTGACGGCCAGACGGTGTCAGCAGATAGCTGTGCTCTCGACTCCCTGGCGTGCTCACTGCCTCTGGAGCATGCTACAAGTTTCCTTTTAGAAAGCAGACAATTTGGAAGTATTTTCTTTTGCTACCTTTAAAAAAAAATGTTGGACATTTTCAGTGCCCCGTTTCAGTCCCCGATATTTTTTATGATATGCAAGAATACCTTTCTAAACTGGTGCTTGTGGCTGCCGCCACATGTGTTCCCGCTAACAGCTCGAGGGCACTTTCTGGGTGTTTTCACAATTGTTACGACTGTTTGTCCTGGGCCTCATGACCCCGCAACTGTAGCACAGGGAGAATTTGCCATCTGGGGATTCATAAGAAAGAACTTTCCATTTAAAAAGACATTGTGAGTACCTGCATGATTCAGAGAGAACGTACTTTCTGCTCTACTTAAAAGCAGGGAACTGTCCTTGAGTATGCGTAGGAAAAGGCTCTCTTCGTGAAACCAAAGGTCCAGCTTGGCACACTTGTACAGACCAAGGAGAACCTTCTGTGTTCGTGTTCAGAAGCACCTCTACAAAAACCTACTTTTAATTGCCAATTGTAAAATGTTGTTTTTTGAAGTCTATTTGAGTTTCAGTTCCCACGTAATACAATTCAAACACACTTCTTTTTTTAAATTGACAAACTTCTGAAATATGTTTAAGACAATAAAACAATGGAATCAGACTTCATCTTAGTACCCAGATGATAATCTTCAAATTTGTCTTGCAATTATCACTGGATTATCAGGTATGATAAAGTATATTTTCTAAATGATGATAAGTTAATGTCAGTTTAAACGTATTATTATATATTTTCACATTACACTATGAAATATTGTTTCTGTGCTTTCCCTTCTATACCTTGTACTTCTCTGATTGCTGGTCTCTTTAAAATAATTACAAGCCCTCAGATAATCCTGGGTCTCCAAACATACTCCAGCACAAGGCTGACTCTCAAATAAAGCCCCTGTTCTGCTGTGTACCTGACTCAGGCACTCTTCTTTTCTTAAAACTAGAAGGATTAGAAAGGCTATTGAAAATGCTGGGACTCTGACTGAATTTGGAATATGACCAAGAGATGGAGAAAAAGTCATACTCATATACTTTCAAAGCAATTTCACATTAATTATCTTACATAATCACCAAGTATATTTCACTGATCACACTTACAAATGTTCCAACTGCCAGTGCCACACTCTTCTCATAAACACTGCACATCAACTTGGTCCATGAACAAAACCCTACACTCTGCGTCTTTCCTTCCTCTATTCTGCCTGATTTTCTGTGATAGCCCTCCTCACCCCTGCCAGTCCTCTGGCCTCTTGGATGTATCCACAAGAGTCAGCATTTCCTTTGTCCTAGAATCGTGTTCAAATTAGGGCCTTTGGTATGTCCTCGTTCACACTTCTGGTGAACCCAGTCATACAGATTCTTTCTTTGGGAGCAAAAAAAAAGAGCAGACCCAAACTCCTTTTCCTCCTAACCCCCAGGTACAGAAAACTCTCTGTACCCTGAAACAGAGAATTACTTTCAGAAATGCGTTCTCTGCCTCTCTAGCCTTGTTTGGCCCCACACTGCCCTGGAAATCACGTGTAGTCAAGTAAGGGAGTCCAAAAGGTAACCAGGCAGAACACACTTGAAGACTGCTGGGCAAAGACCCTTGGCAGTCACTGGGCTTGTGAAGTTCCCAAGTAAGCGACTCATCTATCCACCTTCCACTCTTGGATGATGGGCTAAGGATGCCCAGCTCATCTGGAGGCTCCTAGGAAAGCATGGAAGCTAATGCAGTTTTCACACTGTGACAGTGATTATTTTTCAAGACTTTGGTAGAATATTCTGAAACTTTATTTGGGATTTGACAAAATTATCCTCAAGTACATTTAGACACAATGCAAGTGAGAGAAGGAGCTTTGTATAAGAAGGGAAGTAAGCAGGGCCTTGATGTCTCTTGTAGCTGTTGGAAAACATGACCTGCTGGCCAGAGCATGCCAGAAACCCACTCCAACAAAGGCAATGGACACGCAGGGCCAGCAGTTTAAAGGACTCAAACACTCTCGTGTAAAATTCTACTTGTAAAAATATCCTCTAATGGAAATAATCTCAAATACTTTTAGGCCAAATATGTTCACGTATTTAAACTTACAGGCCAAATATGTTCACTACAGGAAAATGGACAACAGCAAAATCAGAAACAAAGTAAGCATCCCAAATTAGAGTAGTAGCTAACAAGAAGGTATCCACCATACAATGTAATAATATCCAGCCACTGTGAAGTCACATGTTTTAAAGAGTTTGTGATAAAATATTATGTTCAGAAAAAGCACAGTACACAAACGCATGTGCAGTATGATCCCAACAGTATAAAAATATGCATAGAAGCAGGTGGAAGGAAGCTCACCAAATGTGAAGGATGATTGTTCTATGTCTTGGAATTAAGGTTATTTTCCTTTTTATAAACTTTTTAGTATCTCACGTATTTGCTGCAGTTAGTAGATATTGTTTTATGATGGGCTACTGGCCTTACATCTAAAAGATTAAAAATTGCCCCAACAGTGAGTTTTCTAGAAAAATTGAGGAGTATTCTACTACTTACTCAGTGGTAGCCTCCTCCAGCAACTAAGTTACCTCACCATTCTGAAGATGAGCTCAGAAAGTCATAGAATGAGATAAGAAAGTGTAACTGCGTCTCATGTCTGAACACCTCATACATGTGACTTCCTACTTCAGACCTGCCTCCTCTATCAGGGAGTGTAATAAGTTCATGGCACTAAAATGCAAATTCACAATAGTATAGTTTGACCACAATGATTTAAAGAAAACAAATGTCTGTCATCCTTGCATAATCCTCACCTCCACAATATTATTCAATACATGTAGTATATCAGTTACACAAACCAACTATTTAATGCTTTAACTAGCAAAATGGAATAATCTGCAGCTTTCATTCAGAGAAACACTGTGAACATCATAGTTCATAAAATTTAACAACTGGAGAGACCTTGGGGGAATAAAAGCAAACAACCTTCACCTAACAGTTAAGGAAACCAAGAACATGGGAGGAGAGGCGTCCACTTAAAACAAGCAAAGTAACAGTAACACCCAATGCTGTTTCTCAAGAAAGTACTCAGAATGGCTCAAAGGGCTATGGCACACCACATGCCTGTCCCCCTCGGCATGGTTAGAGTACACATGCTGCCCAGTTCATGTTGGTGAGGTATGGGCATGTTCTTTAGCTCAGCTCTGCTGGACAGAGTCTCAGGTGAGGGTTCAGACCTGTGACCGGGTAGACTGGACTACCGTCCAGCGCGGCCTAAAGCACCACCCACTCCCTCTGCGTAGATCTAGAAGGGTCAAAAGAGCAGGAAGTGTCCACAAAAAATGTCATGGCCCAGGAAGGGTCCTTTCTCTCCTCCAGAGAGAGGGACCTCTACGGGCCGCTGCAGAGCACTGTATATTCTTGGCCCCCAATGACTTGCACAAGCGTGGAATACATCGTGCAACCTCTGAGGCCCATTGTGGCAGGACTGCAGCTTGGCAACTTTTGTCCTGACATTTAATCATACTCCATGAACTTCAAGTTACAAACTTTCTGATCAATCAGAACAATTCTGGGACGGGGGTCAGAGGAGGAGCATCAACCTCGTGAGAAAAGTCATCTGGAATGTTTGTTATCATCAGCCTCAAGAAAAAAGGTTAGAAACAGTGCATGGATACTAAAGTCTAAAATGAAAGAGGGATTCATGGAAATTATAATGCCAGAAACTTAAGGGTGTCTCTCAGGTCTTCAGACACCTATGGTTTAAAATCTCTGCATCTGTGTTCAGACAGCTACAGCTCCAGGTACTTGGCTCAGGTCAGGTGAGACCTTTTCAGCACCAAGTAGCACAGGCCTGGCTTCAGAGGCAAATGCACTTGCATAAGGAACCAAGGAGGGCAATGGAAATGCTGCAGACTGTCTTGTCTAACAAGCGGTGACTGTCCTCTGTGGACATGCACTCCTGAGTCCTGTCTGAACCTGAGTAGGAGGAAACACAGCTCACTTGGACACTAACTTTAACTTCCATTTCTGAAAACATGATCTGCCTTTCTTTCTGACTCACTTCAGAGACCCCAGGCCGGGAACAGCTTTGCTCAGGGAGCGCATGGGTCAAGGTCAGGACTCTTCATTCACTGACAACAAACGGAAGGGTGTGGGACTGCAAAGGTTTCAGGTGAGGGCTTGCTGACCAGACGCTCTGCTCTACAAGGTTTCGGAAAGGCGCCCGTGCCCCTAAAACCATAAAATACAAGCACAGAGAGTAACTTACCCAAAGTGACTGGACAAGTTCATGGAGATACAAAAGAGAAGGAGGTTTTTGATCATGATAGAGCTAGAGTACATCCCATTGTCCATTCCCAATAAGAATAAGAGTTGAAGCAGATGAATTTGGAAGAATAATTGTCCTTTCTGTAACTTGATCTTGAAGCTGAAAAGTAAGAAAAAGTGGAAAGCACGTGAATTTCAGCGTTTCTGCACCCCAGAGCCTGGAGCAAACCACGCTGCCACCACAACGATTACAGAGAACGGGGAGCTGGACAGCCTTGTCCAGCACACAGGCACACCAGGCACCTTCCACCACCTTCCCTAGGCAGTGAGCCGCAGCATGAAAGGGGTCACGGGACAGGTTAATGTCCACTCTTACTCAGGAAAGCAGGATCACCTTAATTTATTTTTCCCCATGTCCAAATTCTTTGTTTTACTTTTTAGTATGTTATCCAGTTATTAAAATACATGTCTGAGGTTTTCTGAGCAACCGCATTTTGCGTCTGTCAAATCCACAAGTGGGATGATTTTACCTTTCTGAACTATCCGCCACGCGTTCAAAGCCAGCAAGCTACTCCGCGTTCCGCAAAGCGCTGAGAGAAGTATGTGGAAAGAGGGAAAGGCATGTTTAGGAAACGGGTCTCCGGCAGGATCACGATAATGTAACAACTGCCTACTTGCCACCTTCTCGGCACACCGCCCCCGTGCCTCAATAATTTAACAATCGCTGCGTTAGTGAAAGGCACTCAGTTGGGCGCTGGGCCCTCCTGTCCCCACTGGCGATGCAGGCGGCACCGTCCCCAGCTCGGCAGCCAGCCTCCGGAAGGTTCTCAGCCCTCCGTGTGCGCAGAACGCTGACCCGTGCTCACCGAGAGCGAGCCCGGAGCATCTGGGGAGGAGCGTCTTCCCGAGGAGCCCCCGCGAACTCCGGAACCGGGAAGCGCACAACAGGTACTCCCACCGCGGAAGCCAGGGGCCCTCTGGGCTAGCGTCCACAAAGGCAGGGCTCCGTGCCGGGGGCGCCGGGCGCGTCGCCGGATTGGAGCCAGGCGGCGAGCACGCGGCGCTGCATGCGGGAAAGCCGGGCAGCGTCCTCCGCCCCGAGCCGGGGCCCCGGGAGAGGCTGAGCTCCCTGGACCCCACGGAGGA